AATTAAATTAAATAACTCATATATTCTATGAAACATTTTTCATAGAAAAACAAGTATATTCTCTCTCTTCCTGAAAAACCTCTGAGAAAGAATAAAAACGAAATATCTACGAAATCAACTCTCTGTAAAAATGAGTTGACCGATCCGGCGTTTTTACAGATCAATTATTAAACGTCTAACATTAAATAAAGAAAGAAAATCTACATCTCAACGTCAATTTTATACTCTTGAAGGATTTTACAATTCTTCTAAATTCTTGAAGTTGCTGAAATATTAGAAAAAAAAAGAAAGAAATTCTCAAAAACTAGAATTAGGTGCAATACACCCTGAGGGTTAAGTTGTAAGATTACGGGATTAATGATTCATAGTGAGGATTAAGTTGTTAGATTATGTATTTCGTGTGTTAGTAGTAACGTAACACGTCTATGTTCAAGAATTGATCACAATTTCACCGCGTAATGAGTATAAGGTATTTCAAGTTACGATGTCTTGTACTTTATTAGGTCTTGTACTTTAGCAGGTCGATATACGAGCACGTTAGATCGTCGAATTAGGTGAGTCGCGGAGAGAGATATCGCGATCTCTCACGCATTTTCCATGTTGTTTGCGAAACGTTTCTTAGCGATATTCGCAACCGCATATCTCCGTATCCCCGTATCCCAGCGGAAGCATTTTCACCTGGATGTACGCTCGTAATCCTCCAAGTGGAAAAAGGCTACCGTAAAATTCGCAGAAGAAATTCTCCCCGCCGGCCGACTCGACGGAAAATTCAAGTAAGTTCGCTCAAATTGCTCGTACCGTCTTGGCAATGCGTAATAACTATTATCGTTCCCCTTTACATTTATATCGTGGTGTAATCGAGCCTCCATCTTACCGGGTCCTATCGGCTAATTCATCCAATAACCGCCTAATAATTACTCGCTATGCACGATCGCGACTATCGGCTCAAGTTAATTGACCTGCCAATTGCTCGCAGTTTTAACTTTAACATCATAACGAATTATTATTATTATAAAGATGTAAAGATATTCATAACAAGATTGAATTCTTCAAGAATATGAGCTTGATGTCGAGATATAAGTCTATTTTTATTTTAGTATCGCGCGTTATTTATTCACATCATCGAACGCGTCACATGCAATACCTCTTCATTGATTGCAGATAAACACGATATTTTTACCTCCTTGTGGCTCGTGAAGATCTTAAGTAGTTTTTGCAGTCATTATATTGCAGTCACGGAGATAATATTATTATCTTTGCATTATTAATATAAGTTTTAATATAAGTTTTTTTCAATTTTACTATATATATATTTTTTTTACTATAAATATATATATGTTTTTAGTATTATTTGCTGTACGTCTACTCGCTAGTACACATTCGTAACGCGAGGAAGGTGATTGGGAAGAGTACTTGTCTTAATTTATGATCGCTATAGCTGAATAAGTCAGATAAAGCACGGCTGTCAATGATTTCGGACGAATTGTTATTCATGCCGTTAACGCGAACTGTCAATCATGTGGATTGGCGGACCAACGCGACGCGCACGCGTCATTAAAGGCGTTAGCTTGTCCATGTGTGGACACGCAGCGTATCATGTGTATGTGTGTGTGTATGTGTGTGTGTAGATGCGGCCGTCACCCGGTGATTTTCTAGTCACGGCCAAGAGGCGGCACGCAAATACTCGAAACTATTAATGGCGGGTTTACACGAAGCTGGCGGCAAGGCGAGCCAAGTGGCAAATTACTCGCTTATCTCTTTCTTTAATAAGCAAATCGTCGTTATCGTTATCCACGCGCCTCATGCAAATATCTAATATGCAAATGTGAATTTCCTGCACACGAGTTACCTTTACGGCCACGCTTTGCGATCGATTACGCGAGAAACTTAATCGTCCTATTTACCCGTTTACACGGCAATATTTCTTTCGAGAGTCGATCTCACCACGGCGAAAGTTCCGAGAAAGGCGATCGTTTATCGCGAACAGTTTGCAGCGAACTCTGCAACACTTTTACAACGAGTACTGCCCACATACGTCCACGCGCTTAATTCGGACGCAAAGACGGCTGTAGCACGCGCAGGAACGCAGCGCGGGCGTTCCCATTTCGATACTCCTTAATAAAATCGTTTCAAGACTGCCGGAAGTTAAAGGCGAGATTGTCAGAGAACCCATCGAAACCGGGCGACGATCGTCTCAAACGACGGCCGATTTTGCGCGAGGTAGCCAATAGCAGGGGGACTAGATTTCCGGAGGCGACGGATATAACGCGCAAGCTCCCGTACTTTCTATCGCCTGGAATCACGCTTGCAGCCTGCTGACAATGATTGGTTCGAGTTCGACAATAGTCGACAGTTCGTGCGGATTCGAACTGGAATCAAATCGCGACCGAGATTTGGCCCCCGTTGTCCGTTTCGCTGTATACGGCAAACGAGGAGCGCCGGATCACCGTCGAGTGTATATTACAAAAGCGCGTTACGGAAAAGGGAAACGAAGCGTAATAGTCGATCGAATTTTATTCTGTGGCGGGTGCGTGTCCCTTAGGGCACTCGGCTGTTGCCATCCGTTAAATCGGCCGCGCGAGTGGTTCATCGGCTCCAGCTTTATCGCACGAGCCAAGTTTACGCTTCGTTCGGCAAATTACTCATCATTCGTCTCATTTCAGACGTGTCCGCAGTTCCACGATGCTATTCTTGTGCGTCTCTTAAAATTCCGCGCGCGCGTGCTCACTTTCTGCCAATAAGCGTTATCATCTGGCATTCTCCAATGTTTACGATTGCGATGAACTCTTGCTTCCGCTGTTGCCGACTAGCATGCAGGCAGCATTCGCTCCGATCATTAATCACGATGCTCGATGTATCCAGTTATGCATTTTTATCTCAAATATTTGCCAGTGCTGCGCGTATAACGTTATGATTAATTAATTACACGGAGTCCAAACAATGGCGAGAGCATCCGCTGTATCTTGTGAGCGAAGAGTGCACGGCCAACGTACCGATATTACTGCGTTTTTGTTGTGCTCGCTGTCCGAAAGGCGTGTCTCTCTTTCTACCCAAAATGAGCTTTTTCGCGCGATAGCGAGCGTTGCATTACGGTGCACGCGCGCGCGCGCGAGCCGCAATACCGCGCGCGAAAGCCGGATTACATTAATTAATGTAAACGCGGTCAAACAGAAACACCACCGCCGTGGTGTCTAAATACGATCCTTTCAGGCGGAAAAACAATGTCGTGGCGAACTATAAACGCGCGACATCCCGAAGTCGTGGAATTACTACATCACGAATTGCGAGGATTCCTAATTGTCGCGATACTTTGGGCCTTAATATGAAAGAGCTTCTCGGTCAACCAACATACGACAGGTGCGCGCTAGCTAATACGCAAGTGACACGCGGCACAATGCGTTTTTCTGCCTAATGGTGATACCAAAAAAAGAACGAAAAAAGAAACGAATATTCAAATGACACGAATACCATCGCATCGTGAATCCGCTGAAAAAGAGAAATTATTATATGCGCCAGTATTTCAATTTACTTTCGACAAAAATGATACCACCCTCTATCCTCACCGGCGTAATTTTTCGTCGCACCAATCGACCTTTTTTTCCGAGCGCCGATACATTGAAATAGCAAAAATATCAGCGCTTTTTCTACGCCATTCTCATCGAGCGAGGGAGCGAACGAGCGAGCTCCGTTAACACGCGTTAACAACCTCAACCTGGTCCAGCTTTTTACCGTTCACCTCTATGTGTACGTGTGTACATTGGTGTACCTGTCTCTTTCTCTCTCACATACACATTCTCTCCTTTACTCTCTTCCTCCCTTTCACCCTTCGTGAAAATGTCTGTCTGTCTCTCGCTGTCTCTCTTTCTCTACCGCTTAACCGCCCACCTATCCGTCTCACCCCGTCATCCCCCGATTTCAGCACATAGATTACGACCATCGGCACGCCGCGCCGGTATGGCGTGCGTCCATAAAAAGCGACCATGTATAAAAGCGTCGTGTCCCCGCGTGCTCGACGAGCGAGCATTTTCGTCGGGTCCCTTCTTACCTACGTTGTTCTTTTTCCACAGGGTCCACATCCGTGTCGCCCGCCGACGCGCCGCGAGCAGGAAAACACGGCGGAGAACAAGAAACATAAAGAACGATGGGTTCACCGTTACTTACGGAGCTTTCCGGGACCGACGCAAAATTTTCACGCGCAATTCGGGCTACCGTAAAACAGCGCATTCGCCGACGAATTCGCCAAGCTTCGGCAGCCCACGCTCGTAAAAGTGAAAACCTCGAGAGCTACTTGAACCGTGACAGCCGCGCGAATCACGTATTTTGTTATAAACTCTTAACCGATATTTATGGCTTCTCGGGCTCATCATTACGCGAAGCGCGCTCGCGTACGCTCGTTTATTCGCGAATGCAGTCGGCGCCGGAGAATGGCAGGTATACTTTTTGTTTGACGCGTTTCATCTCTGCGGCTTTGCTTCTATACGCGTGTCAGAGGTAATAACGATAGTTATTAACCTTTCGTGCTCGAAAGCCGGGATGATGTACCGGTCGAAATAACTCGAATATCCCGTATTACGGCCGCGGATGGTTAAAGCGTTAATACGACGCATCTGCACTGACGCAAATGTATATTCAGTACGTTTCGCGTTTTAATAACAATTAATGGCTTTTAAAGATCAAAAGGGGACAAAGAGAAAAAGATAGAGGGAGAGAGAAAGCAAAAGAGAGAGAGAGAGTGATTAGACTATAAAGGGTATCTGCGAAATACAAAGTAAATACAAAAACATCATTTTACTTTGTATATATGCGTCATGCCGACAGGGAGCACTTGTGGTGATCGATAATAAATGGATCCGACGCGCTAAGTATGGATTCTCGCTTTCGCGATGACTCACTCTCATATCCTTCCCCACGTCAGCAAACTACTCCTCCGCGCGTACAAACTTTCGGAGCTGTTCCGGCGTTCAGCTACGATATCACACGTCGTCCGTATATGAACTTACCGTTGACGACAGCGATGACGGCGAGGACGCACAGCAGCAAGGATCTCGCGCACATCTTAGCCGCTTTTTCGGGAGGGTGGTCTCCCCCCGGCGCTTTCCCTCGGCGAAAGAAGAGCAGGAAGAGAAGACAGACGCGCACACACACGGGCGATCCTTACGTGCTTTTCTCGAGCATCCTTCGTCTTCGTTCTCGTCCCCGATCGAATTGTCCTGTTAACGCTTGCGACGGATTAGCCTCGTCTCTGATCGGCAAGTTCGGATCGATCAGTCGATAATGAGCACCAAAACGTTCCACAGTAGAATTGTGTTCGTCGTCGTCATTGCGAAGTGATGGCGGGGATGCCTCGGGACGACATGGATCGATGGTCGATTCACCGTTCCTCCTCTGTGGATGACGTCTCCAAGGGCGGACGGAGAAAATCAAACGTGCTCGTCGGACGGAAAAGCGAGTTACGATTGCGAAATTAGCTGATCGCTAATTAGGACAGATCGCATTAATCGGCTCTTAACCGCTGAAGCACGGAAGTACCTCGATCGAAATCCTATCTCGCCTCCCCGCGATAACCCGAGGCTCAAGCTTCGAGAGCTTTCTTCTTTTTCGTCGACGCTCCCTCCGAGGTTTCTCCGCTCTCTTCCTTCTCTGGCTGTCACTGCCGCTCTTCGCCTTTGGTTTCTTTCTTCTAGCCTTAGGACATAATACCCTGCCTGCCGCAAATCCTCAATCTACTTGTTTGTTCTCGATGACGTCAGCTGCGCCGAAAGCTATCCCGCGATGTCTTACGGTGAGCTTCCACGATGCAGGACGAGCCGAAGAATCGGAGAACTCGGCCGCAAGTAACTTACTTCCGAGTAACTTAAAGCGTCTCTCGGGGCGAAACTAGATGTTCCTCTTATTCATCGAACAGTCCGACTTTTTGCCTCTGATCAAAGCGTCCGGTCGACGAGGAGAGAGGATGGAATGCCAGGCTCCGACTCGATCGTCCCTCTTTTCTTACTTGTCGAGTGCAAAGTTTCGACTCGTCCGACAGTCAACGGGATAACCCTTTACGATTCCATGCTACTGCGACTGTCTCGCGAACCGCCGAGCGTCTCTCTGCGACGCGACTTGGTCGCGCTGCGCGCGCGCGCGCGCCCGCGGAGTCGACTCGGGGATGATGATTCGCGTCGGCGAGAGGGAATTCCGCGATTCGCAAGCGCGCCAACTTCTCCTTCGGAACTTTCCGCGCATCAAGCTCCGAAACTCGCGGAGAAACGGCGCGCTCGCCGCCGTCAGGTCGGTCGCAGGGCACGTGACAGCCAGCGGGACGCTTCCGGCCACGGCGAGTTCGCGTCGCTTACTGAGCTCACGGAAAAGCTCCTCGAGGAAGGTCCGCGAGACGAGAGCACGTTTCTCACCCCCACCCTTATCGCGCGATTACGTGTGCGCCGCGCGCGCTGATTGGCCGGGCATGCGCTTCAAGCTCCGTCGAGTAACGTGCGTGCCCTCCTGGCTCGCTCGCCGGCAAAAGGAAGGGGGGAGAGGACACGCAGGGAGGGATGGAGAGGAGGAACGAAAGCTCCGCGATGCTTTCGGAGCACTGCTGGAGTAGTGTTGAAGCGCTGTTGAAACCGCCGGTAGTGGGGCGACAACGCCAACCGGTCGGGGACGCGCGCGGTGACGGCGACGGCCTTGGGGGGGTGCGGAAAGGACACCGGGTACACGGCGCGCTTCGCGCCACTACCCACGCTCGCACACGCGTCGAGCTTGCGGCAAAAGTTATGACCTCAAAGGGGTCGTTAACGAGCGCCCGCCAAATTAGTATAACGGCGCGCCCTCCGCTCTACTCCTCCCTACTCCCTTCCGCGCTCCTTTCGGTATGAACCCTTCCGTGTCCTTCCTCCATACCTATACCTATTTGCCCGTGATTATTTTTCACCTGACTCGAAACGGAAGCACTATCTATCATCCGTCTATCGGCTCACTCCAGCCGAATACTATGCTCATTGTCTATCGATTCATTACAGCGGCTCGCGCCGTTTTATGATCGATTGCTGTGATTGCGCTCTTGTCAATTGTGGTGTCTTGGCGCGCTTTCTTTAATCGCGCGGAAACGTCGTCACGCTAATATGAGAGCTTTGCAGGGATCGTCGAAGTTAAAGTACTAATGCTCGGACGCGTATCTAATCCTGGATTCTTATTGTTTTGTTCTTTAAATACGAATATTTTAAGTCTCAATACAGGCACATATATTCTATGTTGAAAGGTTAGATATAATCGTATTTAAAGATCAAAATAATAAGAATGTCCAAGGTTAGATACATGCCGGGAATTGATACTTCTATCTTAACACACGTCTTTTCATTTTTACTACGTTTTTAATCTAGGAAAATAGATTGGCATTAAGGTCTATTTTGCTAAGAAACATTGTAAATTTCGCTAGAAATATAGCAGATTACGCTAGAAATATAATAAGTATTTTAACAGCACATTTCATTCCCTAAAATATAAGTAGCAAGAAGCATTTTGTTGCAATTTAGTTGGAACGATTTACGGCCAATCGCGTCCAGATATCGATTTTGTCAACGACTCTGTTTTACGCGAGGACTGGATCACCTGTCTCGGTTGCATCCATCCGAGTTTAGACCTAGTAACCTTTATTATTTACAGCAGCGGACGTGTATAAATAGCAACGTTGCTTTCTTATGTATGGTTTATCATGCAGCGTACATACAAACTTGGACTTTTATGTTTGCCGCGCGTAAAATATAGTAGCGTTTAAAAAGTTATTATCCGACATGTGTCGGACATTGAGAAAGAGAAAGAGAGAGAGAGAGAGAGAGAGAGAGAGAGAGAGAGAGAGAGAGAATCGTGATTAACACACCGCGACGTATATTACATACACAAGTAAGAATTACCACGAAAGAGAAACGTTTCTAGAAGTGAGCGCGCGACCCGACTACCTTCCGCGATACCCTGTTTGCGGCGCAATCTTCTCGCGGGGCCGTCGTTACTCACGAAATTACTTTCCATTACGCGAAACTTGGTAACTCCCGGAAAAAGTAAAAGTAAGAGCTTCAACGGCGCGCGCGCGTGGCGCGAAGCAGCCGCTGGATTTTGCGAAGGACGGCTTCGGAAATGCCGACGACAACGCCGGTTCTAGTAGCGCAGTCAATATATAATGCGCGACGTGCTCTTGCATTTCAAATTACCGCAACGTACTACTAGCGACGGACGTACGGACGTCGCTTCTCGATGCTGCCGATCCTCCGCCAGCGACGGTGTGACACTATGAATTCAAGCAATCTCTCACTCTCTCTCTCTCTCCTTCCCCTTCTTCCTTCCTTTCTCCTTCTCTCTACTACTATATTGCGTTCGGGCGGTTATCATCCCGGTTTTAGGTGCCACACGTTATTCCAACCCAGTGTCGGATTTACGGCCCAAGGGCCCCTGAACGCAGTTTCTCTTCGGAGCCTTACGTTGATAAGATAGGTATATCACGAATACAATATTCGAGAAATTCTCCGTTATAATTTACACACATAATTATTTCGCTAATGCTGCATGTTTTAGCGTCTTCACATAACATATCGAAGAAATTGCTGTTTAAAATGAATGTATTACATATTTAAAATTATACATCTGATGCATACATTATCTCAAAGGAAACAAATTTTAAAAAATTATTCGTGATACACGTATAAGAAAATTTTAGATTTTCCAAAATTATGATACATACTGAGAGAAAAATGTTTGGTATTTGTAACTATAATCGTATAGAGAAATAATTATAGTTAAGACCCAATTGGGGCTATATTTTTTGGTTGTTCCAACACGAAGATAGTAGTAGTGACATGCATATAAGATTATTATCACTAAAATTATAGTACAATTGACTAAAAAATGGTTATCTTGACAATAATTTATAGTAATTATTTCTCTATACGATTATAGTTACAAATACCAAACATTTTTCTCTCAGTACAATATTTTAATGATGTAAGGTTTCCTTTTATCGTAAAATCTTCGTAATTAGTTTTTGCACTCACTCAAATGTCGCAAACTCAGGATTTTCCACTGCACATCTAGAACAAAAAGATATAGTTTTGCTGATTAGATCTGAAGTTTCGACATTACAAATGAATGCACTGTAGATAGAATGACTCAACCATTTGCGATCGTAATTCTAGGGTTTTTATTCCGACTATATCTTAGCTTTCGACTGCGAAGGGTTACAGACAAAATACAGAGAATCTAACATGAACTTACCTTCGAGCTGACCCTGCTCGGCCTGAACAGGATTCTCCGGTGCATCCGCATCCGCCAGAACTGAATCTCCGGAACCATGTCTGTCATGTGGCTGTAAGCGTTGCCAGATCTGGAATAAGAAATGTTTTCCCTAATTAGTATTAAATATAACAGCTATTTGGTATTATCTAGACCGATCAAAAATTTCTTTAAATGTATTTTTTTTTAATTTCAATATAAAGAAATGTCATCTTCTAAATGTAAATAAAAACACGGAAAAAACTACTATGGTTGCAATATCTATATATTCTATAATTAGAGAGAAAATTTATGTTATTTCAAATGAAATAGATATGACATTAAAAATTGCTGTTATTACATGCTGACATTATACAGTTCTCACAGTCATAGTTCTTATGATATATAATATTTAGTTAGTACATCCTCATATACATGATTAATCAAAGGAATAGTGCTATCTCTCTGTTGTTATCTGCAGAACAAATACTATAGTTGAGAGAACCATAAAGTTTAGTTGCACCACTGAGAGCATTGCTCAAACATACTATATAGTATATGGATAAGCATTCAAGAATGTTAATATATCATTTCAAAAATACTACAATCATCTTGAATGCATGCAAAAGATAATATTAATATTTTGTGTATGGCAACTACATTTAATTACAAGTAATAGTGTTTTCTCCATGAAATAGTCATTCTTTAAATGCCACGGCGTTCATGTTGCTTACAATTACTATAAGTCGGTGATTACGTCATGAGAATATATATCCACTATATTTTAGTCTGTTTTTATATTAACTTTGATTAATTTTGATCAATTTAACAAAAACTGAAAATAAAAGTTTATATCGTTCGACGAACTTCCCGACATCAAGAATCGTCACTATCTTACGTGTACTCGAGTACACGACATGTTGAATTATTATTTATTAATCTTTAATTATTTGATTCTCCGTATTGGAGATGTTTATTTGATTTCTGTTTCAATATGTATATCGCGCTTTTCGCTTTATTAACCTTCGTCTTTATTAACCTGTAGTGCGATACCGGAACTTCAACTGACACGAATAACTTTGTGTCCTGACTGGTTAGTTAGTGTAATTAACCACCAATCAATTAATTCGCACTGAGTTCCACGGATACCTTACCACCGATAGATCGAAGACGATACTTCTCCCACGACGTCAAAAGGGCGACGCGATAATTTTGACCTTGAGCCCGAATGTCGTGAATATGCGCAATTATAATGTGATATTATACGACGAATTTGTGTCGTCACGAATGCGTCAAAAACTCTCAACCGTAGATTCACAACGAAGCTGCATAAAAAACACGTAACTAGGAACAAATACGCGACTGGCTGAAAACTATCGTCGAAAAGTAACTATCAATCTATCGGTGGTAAAGCAACAGCGTATTTATCTCTCTGATGAACCGCATTTTTCTTTACCGATTCATAAATCTGACGATCGTCTGATTCTATTACTATCCGAGTGAATCGATGGTGATGACAAGTGTTGTAAGAGATGCCGACTTGACACGTCGCGACAAGTACAGGTTGTATATACAAAAACAAAATTACTAATGAGATCTTGACGAGACGTCTCGGTGATCGCACATCGTTATTTTCGACACTTTCGACATTTATTCTCGTACGAGACTCACTTCCTACAGACAAAAGATACGTAAAACGTGGAGCGATGTCGATCGATGTGTTCATGGCGGTTGTTCGGCGCGAAAAGGTCGAAAATGGCGCGCAATTGACCAAGAACGCGCGCGAAAACATTCTCTGTTTGATAAAGACGCCCTCTTGTATGTCTTTCTCTTTCTCTCTTGCTAACAGATCGACGCTACCTCCCGAGATTCGACGTAGCTAGAGTTCCTCAAGTTAAAGTTAGGATCGTGTGCTGATTGGACCGTAATCTATCCGCTATTAATAAGGAAGAAGTGGAAGGAGTGGGTGAGTGAGTGAGAGAGAGAGAGAGAGAAAAGCTCTAAACTGAAACGACGAAATGTAGTTTCCCTCTCGCTTGATCTGTTCTTTGTAACTGAACTGACTGCACTAGTTTACACCAGCTTTCTTTCTCTCCTTTTTACATCAAGTCATACAGCTATATATCTGTTTCTTTCCAACTTCCGAAAGTGTACACTTTGGCTACAAAGAACAGATCTATTCGCTTCTTTCCAATACAGGGCGGACAGTGTCATAATTCTAGCATATCCCCGGTGTCATTTTCTCTTTCATCGAATTTCTGATACTCCATCAATAAGTCTGACGATTGTATGATTCGATTACTATTCGAGTGAGTCAAATACTGACAGACGCCGACTCGAAACGTCGTGACAGGCATCGGTTATACACAGAATAATCAGGATATTACTTACTAATGATGTCCTGACGACACGTTCCGACGATCGCACATCACTATATACAGCACTTGCGACGCTTATCCCCGCATGATACTCGCTGCCGACAGGCAAAAAACAGTTAAAATGCGGAGCAATATTAAACGATGCAGGATCGTGTTATCCAACACGAAAAGATCGATATCGAAGATAGCAGTGCAATTGACGGCGTGCACTCATGCAATAGCGCACTCTGTACGCATAGCGTGAAAACACTTGCTGGGCGGCAGACGTGATAACCAATCAACATTCCGCAATGAGTCTAGATTGTTTGCTACCGCGGTGCGGTACGTTCACTAAATCGATAGTACGAAAAATTTCAAACAATTATATTCGTTTTTAACTAAGCGTTTTTCGATTTAACTGCGTTACTGTCGATTAATTCAGAAAACGAAAACATACTTTCTGGTTCAATTAATAATAATGACAAACACGTATAGAACCGTGTGGCCAAAAATGTTTAGTAACTATCGATCTAGCGAATTCCCGGCAACCACAGTAGCGAATGATTCTAGCTTTTATGGAGATGCGGCACGCTGATTGGCTAGCCGCATTTCTTCATCTATATACAGAGCGCGTCGTTGTAGAAATAGGACAATGTTTTCACGCGCGTTTTCGCCGTACGTCATCAAGTACGCGGGCAACTTCGGTCTTTTTGCGTCAGCAACCGCCACTTGGACACATCGATCGACATCACTCCGTATTTCGCGTATCTTTTGTTCGTCGAAAGTGTATCTCGAGCGAAAATCAGTATCGCGAGTGTCGGAAAGAGCGATGTGCGATCGTCAGGACATTATTGATAAGTAATCTCTTTCTTTCTGTATATACTCAACCAGTGCTTTTCGTGACGTGTTTGAGTTGACGTCTCTTACACCTGTTAATACTATCAATCCACTCGAGTAGTCATAGAATCGGACGACTCTCGGATTTATTACTCAGGAATTAGAAACGCGATATAATCAGAGCGAAAGGAAAAACGATACCAGAGATTCGCAATATAGAATCTCGGGAGGCAGCGTCGGTTAGCAAAGAGTGTGCACTCTATCCGCGAATGCTTTGTCATCGTTAGATATCGATAGTTGTTACAAATTGTGGATCAATCGTTTCGAACTACGTGTTGTAGCTGATAAAGCCACAAAGTGCGTTCTCGCTTTTTGAACCAAACAACAACGATGAGAAACGCGTAATTAGAGATAAATGTAGCTGGCCAAAAATGTTCAGTTACTATTGATCTAGCGAACGTACGGCAGCCGCGATAGTGAACAATTTAGCTCTTATGGGAATGCGACACGCTGATTGGCTATCCGCCGCGCGACAAGCGTTTCCGCGTTGTGTACAGAGCGCGTAGTTGTGGGAGCAGGACAATATTTTCGCGCGCGTTTTCAGCGTACGTGATCGAGTGTGCGGCCATCTTCGACCTTTTTGCATCGAGCAACCGCCACCGACACATCGATCAACATCGCTCCGCGCATTTTACGTGTCTTTTGCCCGTCGAAAGCGAGTCTCGTGCGAAAATAAGTGCCGCGAATGTCGAAAATAGCAATGTATGATCGTCAGGACATATCGTAAGTACTTTGTTCAGCAGTAATGTTTTTGTTTCCGTGTATAAACCGATACTTGTCGCGACGTGACGAATCGACGTCTCTTACACTTGTTAGTACTAATGAGTCATTCAAGCAATCATAAGTCTATAATAATAGTCATTACTTGAAACTTCCATGTAAAATATTTACATTGAGATATTTGAGATACATGAGATACTTACATCAATTTAGAATTAGAATGAAGTTTTTTATTTGAATCACATAGTATATACGATATTACATTTGCAATCGCGACTCAACTGAAAGGTTTACATCTAATTCTAAATTCATATTTAAATATTTCACCTGAGACAAGTTTCAAGTAAGAACTATTACTACTGCTCATAAAATCGAGCAATTTGAATTTTTTACTTGAATCACAATACATGCGACATTATATTTACAATCGCGATTTAACTGAAAGATTTACATCTAACACTAAATTCATATATAAATATTTCATCTGACACAAGTTTCAAATAACGACTATTACTACTGCTCATAAAATCGAACGATTCTCGGATTTATTAGCGGAAAATTAGAAATGCGATGATCAAAGAAAAAGAAAAAACGACGTTGGAAATATTCGCAATGTAACATCTCGGAGTACTACTGTAGCGTCTGTTAACAAGATGTGTACACTCAGTCCGCGATTGCTTCATGATTTATAATTACAGTTTTCGATCTACAATTTTTTATCGGTCATATTTTTAGTTACGCGCTTCTCATCACTGTTAATTAATCCAGAATGCGGAAACGCGTTTCCTGGGTTAATTAACAGCGAGGGGAAACGCGTAGCTACACACTAATGTGGCTGGTCGAAAATTTGTAGTAACTATAGATCTATTGTACGGTAAGGCATCCGCAGAACTGAAGGTACATCACAGTGGTCGAACTTAGAATAGAATGGGCGTCGTGTCCCTAGAGACATAAATAATTATCCAATAGATGCAGTAGCGCTAACAGTAAACGCAGGCATGCACTGCCGGATTCACACGTTGTATAATAGATAGCACCACGAGCTGAAATGTTAATCTCCCGTGCAATAAAGCGGTTTATCATACTATGTAAAATAGCAACTATTGTTGAATTCATCAAATCATAATATATCGATAGATTGAATTACTAATGGGTTACAAAAGATCTCGATAAGTCGGCTGTTATTTTTTCTGACTCACATTTGCATAATTCGCACGCGATACAAGACTAAATCTCAGAAAACCACAAAGTTGGAACAAAGAAGTAACAAGAAACAACAAGAAAACAGAAACTCTGGGGGAATCGCAAAGCTACTTCGGCGTTGATTTACGTCAGATCTTTTCTTCTACTTATATCAATCGTCTCTATGTTATATAAAATTCTTTATAAACTTTCTACTGCATCTCTCCTCTGCCCCTTTGCCCCCCATCTGTAATTAGACAGTGCATTAGACAAAGCGAAAGACAAAGTCCGTTAACAAAAGAGCGTCTCGGCTTCAAGAAGGAAAATGTTTACAAAGCCACGTACGTGAAATCGTACGGATTGGCGTCTGACAAATGGAAGAATTTCAACTTCAAAGAGAGAGTATTAAGTTTGTGATTCTCTTGGCGCTACCGCGCCGACACAAAGCGAGCCAAGAGGATAATAGCGAGATAGAAAGACGCTTCTCGCGACGTCGTTAGCCGTTCGACGTGTGGCCGCAGTAATTAAATATTAAAAAAAAAAGAAAAAGAGATAGGATAAGCAAAAAATAACTTAGAAGAAGCTAAAAAGAGATATAATGTGTGTGCACTCGTTAGATTCGGCTAACGTTAACTATCCGTCGCCTCTTCGGGTTCTTAATTCGCGTTTCAAAGGGTCCGGCATTTTTCCGAGCGATGGTTCCGGCAGACTGCGGCGATAATCCAGCGGAACGTTCGACGAAGATGAATTCCGTACAAAAAGATTTTCGCGTCTACCGTCTCGCGCTTTGATCGGCGTACCGTCAAAGCGACGTTTCACTGTCTCATTTCGATTCTGTTTTACTTCGCCCGCATATTGATATTCTTTGGTTTTTTTCAGGCTTTCTACATTTCTTCTCGATCCTCCTCCAGTGCCTCATCTCCGTGTCGCTCCCCTTCCTTCCGCTCCTTCTCACCGCTGTCTGTCGCAGGCGCCGGGACCGATTCTCAGTCTAGCGTGGAATATACTGAGGGATGAAAGAAAGGATCCAGTCATTAACCGCGCCGACGAAGGGAGAACGCGCACAGACGCGAGAAGGTATGAACGCATTCTTCCTTACTCTCTTTCCGTGAGAATCCTAGTAAGAAACGAATGGCGCACGAGTGCGCATTCGTTCTAAGGGAGAATTCACACCTTGCCAGAGAAGCAGAAAACAGAAAGGCAAAAGAGTCAATCAGAACTCGTGCTGGCAGGAAAACAGAAACTGTCGACTATTACTGACCACCAGTGTTATTTCTGATTGGTTTCTGCCTTTCTGATTTTCTGCTAAGATGTAAATTTTCCCTTAGACAACGTTCATTCCTTGGCAGAAAAGCAGAAGAGCCAATTAGAAGTCGCGTTGGTAAAAAAACAAAATCTGTCGACTACCAACTGGCCAGTGCGAGTTCCAATTGGCTTTTCTGTCTTTTTGCCAAGGTGTGAATTCTCCCTAACGATATCCGCGGTGGGACATATTTGTCGTGGCTTATCGGGCCGCTTATGGCCGACTACGGGAGCTGTATACGTTCGCGAACGATTATTGTGACAATTTCATTTCACCCATACGCACGGTTACACTGCTCGACCTGCCCTGCTTCTCGGCTCGACGCGACCGGCCAACGACACCCCGCATTGGTCGAAATGCGAAAACTGCTCCACACGCCAGACATCGTCATCCGGCTACTACACTCAGTAAATTTCCCTCCGGGACATGTTTCCTATGTGTATCGAAATCCCGTTTAATCGAAATTTCGAATGTACATTTAATCCATTCTCCCAGCTGCCTATATCTATCCCTCCTCTCCTCCACTCTTTACGCAACAATCGACTGTGTCACGTGCACATGCTCCTGCAACATAAAAAAAAAAGAGTACGTTCCTCTGTAGTTCGTATAGACTTGAAGCCTGCGACGGACGGATTGAAAAGTCGAAGCACTCGAGGCTAAATTGTCGGTAGCGTTTTTCTATTGGGACGATGCGATTTTTAAAATGACTTTTTTCATCCGGCTTGCGAGTTTTTTGACAGGAAGCTTAAACAATACACATGAAAAGTTATTAATTTTTTTCCAAACGGTAAAGTTTGCCGCGGAAACGACGGTGAAAAGGACCCGGTGTCTCGGCGAATTATCGAATACGAAATCGTAAAGCCAGCGAAGCGTTGCCAGGTGCGAATGAAATGTTTACTAAATTCGTGCCGCTCGACACACGTGAGCAAGAACACTTTCGAGATTATGCTCTTTATTTAGGCGTCGCGATCAACCCGTTACGATAATTACCGAACGGAAAACAACAAGGAACCGATTAATTTATGAACTTTTAAGCAGACCATACAAGTCACGCGTAAGCGCCGTTGACAATAACGGCGAACGAGATCGCTCCGTTTAAGCGCGAGCGCGAGTCGTCTCTCTTCGCTTATTGAAATCATCGAGCTATCAGTCCAGCCGACGGATGAATACATTTCAAATCGAGGACTGCAATAACACGCAGATTGTTGTGAGAATAAATTCCAGGCTGAATTCTCTCGCGCCGCGCCGCGATCAGTGGTTTTTCCCGGCTCGGCACGACGCGACGCGACGCTCACAGCGTGAATTCGAGCAAAAGCAAACGAGCGACCGTCAGTGCCGGCCAATTGTCTCGCACCGATCAATTCAAGCCGGTCGATTATATTTTCCAAAAATGCAAACGACTCTATAACGCCCTCCCGCCGATCTCTTCCCTTCCTACCACCCTTCCGCTCGCTTCTGCTTTTTTTTTTCTTTTAGGCAAGAATTTTTCAATATTCGCTACACTTCCCTCGGGATGTTCCGCGTATCGATATTCCATTTCGTCGGGAATTGAGCGACCGACGTACGGCGTGGTGACAGAGAGAGAGAATGAGAGAGAAAGAGAGATAAGGGGGAGGAGGGGGAGACAGAAAGGGAGGGAGTGAAAAAGGAAGGCCGACCCGCGGGTGTGAGACCGGAGAAAAAAGGCGAACGCTCGCCACGCCATCCGGCTGAAAGATGTGACGAGACCGTCGTTTACCTTTATCGTCGCCCTTACTTTCGTCATCGTCATTATATCGACTATCGTCAGCCCGCTACCGTGCTTGCAGCCCCTGTGTCGGTGCAGCGGCGTGTACCTGGGTGCTCCATTTGCCGCGAGAGTTTATCGGATCGAAACGCGTCGCGCCGATCGGGCCCGCGGCGAGAAATGCATAAACCGCGATGCGTTTACGTAAGAGTTGCGCCGCATATGACTTGTTTCGATCATGCATCGTTACACGATCGCTACACTATTTCTTTTCCCTTTCTCTCTTCCTTTTATTCACTAAATAAATATTTCTTATTTCGAATTTTTCACATCGATCGTTATAGCTTCGAGAGTTAATCTCGTCGAATGCATAAGTTACTATGCTCTCTTTTCATTCGCACGTTTGTTTCCACTGTAAAATAGATACGACATGAGATTACTCGAGTCAAAATTTTAAAATTCCGCATTAACCGAAAATTCCGTCAAACTTGAAGGACTAATTGAGAAAATAAGGACAAAGATATCAGTTTTACCTAACGATATTATAATGAGAAAAAATGCCTAAAAATAAAAAAAAATATTTATTTGGCGAGTACTAATAAGATATTTGCTTAAACCTAAATTTTTTGTTTAAATTAAATAAATAATTGCTTTCGTGAAAAACAGCGATAATTAGGAACATGTATATTTTCTTATTTGAAAAGAATATTTTCTCAATGTAAAAGTATCTATATTAGTACAAAGTAAATATATCATTAGTACCCATTGAATAAATACTTTTTGTTTTTTAGACTTTTTTTTTCAGTGTGTACGTACCAGTAAATATGTAAATTTTAATTCGATTCAACAAGTCTAAACAAAAAAAACATAAATTCATAATGGAATTTGCGCGTTTCAAGAAACATCATTACACTGAGAGAAAAAAATGTGTAATAAGAAATATTTATTTGGTGAATACTATGTAATAATATATTTATTGGCTAATATAAAATATTTTTCAAATAAAAATATATACATATTTTAAATAAAAGGGAAAATTTATATTTCAATAAATTTGTTATTACTACCCATCGAATAAATATTTTTTATTTTCTAGGTATTTTTTCTCACTGTAGACGCACAAATTAGCACTCGCGAGATTGATGCTGAGTTATAAGCTGAATATTCATAGTTGGAAATTATTTACGATCTTTTATCGAGAGCACAATTAAATACATATTTGTATTCATTGACTATTATACGGCTATTTGGATCAATGTTTCTTGCCGTATAAAATAAGTACAGGCGCAGGTCAATCAGTGATTTACAAAGCTATAATTATTTATCAGGTAATATAGACTAATAATATTGGCCCAGCTTTCGACTCGTGTGCATCTCCTCGTTCTCAGTAAAATAATCAAACATGTGGCAAAATCGGAAATATTGCGTATAATAAATGATTTCATATAGCTGTAAATATACAATTATTAGCATCCTACGTCGATCGTTCCCAATTCGGCTTCCCAATTCAACGTCCTTCTTCTGGCGTGCTTCTGGCACTGACACTCCGGAACGAAGAAAAGCGTGTTAATTAACGCGATGCCTCCCCGACGACAGCCCGATAAAATATTTCATGTTACCGACGAAATATTTTAGTCGCTCGGGGATTGTAATTAACGCGACGATAAACATACTTTGGCGTCGTATGTTTGTTCTTTGTCGGCTCGACACAAGGAACTAAGGCACCAAAACAATAGAAAGAGCAAAGTTGCCCCCCACCACTCCGCCTATCGTAATCGCCGCAGAGTACTAGACGAGCGAGAGAGCGAGAGAGAGAGAGAGAGAGAGAGAGAGAGAGAGAAAGAGAGAGAGATAAAAACAGTCAATCCAATCAAAACATTCCGGACATTCGAAGTAGTCTGTGTCTCCGTGCGTTATATTACTACTTTGCGTTGCGTTCGAGTCGGTGAGCGATTTGTATACAACAGAATAAACATGTGTACGTTGGTACGTTAGTTATTACTCCTGTCGAGTGTGAGGAGCATTTTGTAGATTCTTGAAATATTCGGTCGAAATTTTGTCGACATCATGCTAATTAACATGCCCTTCTTCGATCGGATCGTGTCGTTGGTAGTGTTAATGCCACGAGCAAGACAAATGTCCCAATGACTGAATTAATAAAACTAAGAAGACATAATATAATCAGTTTTACATTTTTATTAATAATCAATGGCAATAGTATTAACAAAAGTAACGTTCATATAATAAAATTCCGGATTGTTAACGATCGAAAAATAATAGGAAATAATAATGATCAATAAACATCAATTATAACTTTAATAAGATATGTTGGACAATGACTTAGTTCAGTGATCAATGACAGTATCAGTGATTGACTTAAAAAACGAATCATGTTCCAATTACTGAGTAATACAGACTCAGTGACTGCTCAATAAATAATATTGCAAACTGGCATAAAAATATATCACATTTAACAAAATTTCAAAGGTTCTTTTTTAGATATATCAAATACAGATATATTATTAATGTTTCAATCATTAAGATGTTGTTCAATTACTGGGATATTTACCTCAAATTTACTCAAAGCAGCCAGAAAAAGAACGTTGAGTTAGGAAGCCAGGATGCTCAATGCAGGATGCTGAGAAGCGAGCAGTGGTTCATTGTATATTTACAGATGCGTGAAATCATTTATCATACAGAATACTGGAAGAACCTAATGCGACCATAAATAGATATATTATGTGTACTCATTCAGATATAGTAAAGAACGCTTTAACGAGACTTTTAAAATAAGTAAGGATTTAATTAATTAGTAAAACTCACGGGAAGAAACAAACATCTCGGAAAAGACAAACGTCTCGATGAACACAGTCTTGCGAGCCAATCGTTTTAGATATATGATACTTTTTGTAAAGCCATCTTATATCAAACGTCAAAGTACCAGCAGTAGCACGACGCATACCTTGGAGTGTGCCAAGAACCTATTTTGCGTTTCATTGTTCGCTACTCAAGCGATTGTGAATTCGTTTCTTATCATCTTTTTGGCAGTAATTATTTTGAACATATCTTTTACCTGTGGACATGTGATAAAAAACGGCTGAAAGATGCGACGCGGTAGAGGTTAACTTAGGCAATTGCTATATAGGTTAGGCTAGGTTAACTCTCCGGCTGAATAATTCACTGTCTCATACGGACTATCACGACGTTCGACTATCACGTAATTGTTCTCCGAATCGACGATAAAAAAGCGGCAATAAACACGTTTATGCATCAAGAAGAACACCGTTTGCCTCACGTCTCTATGTCGCGAAAAACGGCTTTCTGAGCTTCTTCGACGTGTTCGGTACCAGCGAACGCTACCAATCACCGCTAGGTGGCATTATATGTCGAGGCCGCGGCCATTATGCAGCTGACGCTGCGTGGGGAAAAGGAATGCATCGTAACGGTACCCATCCACCTCCCACACAGCACGTGCTACTCCCAGATAGTGCAACGTCGAATCGATCGAGTACGCGGCTCGATACAATCGTCAATAATTGAACTTCTAAAAATCGTAGCAGCATGAAACAACAACCGTTGGAAAGCTAAGATTTGCGCGCTTTCGATGAACTAGAGCGTGTTTTCTCGAAAAATAAGGATCGATTGGTAAAATGGGGTTCTCGCGACAGGAAATACCGACCATCTTGAAATTTGCGCGAAAATTAATCTATGACGGGAACAGAGAAACTTCGTTTAAATGGGTAATGTTGCAAAGCGCAAAATTTAGTTTTCCATGGATTTGAGGGGATGCCAGACATGAAAACTTTACCGACGTAACATTGACCTTTTTTGCAAAGTTTACGTCTTCTTGCTTGCACAGAATTACAAACGCTTTTACACAACAAAAGTGCATGCAAAAATTAATTGAAGCATTGCTTAATATGTAACGAAAACGAAAAAAATATGTTTAAATTTAAATTTTGAGCTGTCAGTTAGTACAATATTTATTTAATACAAACATTCTGCAAGTTGTATATATCAAAACTGTGGATGATCTCATCAGGAAAATTTCATAGATTACTACTACACTTTCAGAATTTAGTTTCGATGCCAAAAAAGATACGAAAAGTTTGCAGAAAAATTTATGATTACATGTAGTTAGGTTTTCCGATAACTATGATAAAGTAAAGGAAAAAAATTAATTCACGGATATTTTTAGAGATGGTATCGTACTTTTATGATAATATTTGATCGGCATTGAGAAACTTGATTGCGACGTTTCTCTATCTAACAAGTAAAAACGTAAATAAAACTCGGTAATTACCCGTCGCGGTAAAACCCACAACACCTGCTCGCGTGAGGACTACGCATCTTAATTTTTCTTAATTGTCGCGAAGTCGAAACGCGGTATTAAAAATTGGCCCGAAATAATCTAGAAAATAACGCGGCAACCTAGACTTTGTTGAGTCTAGAATTTTTGTTAGAGCCGTTACCCAGGTTACCCGTTATTGTTATCATCGATTATTCGATCTTTATTATTTCTTTATTGTCCACTCGCGGATATTATCACACGATTGTCGAGCAGATATTATTATCACTACCATTCAATATTCGAGTGTTATTACTTCTTTATTCGGTTATTATTTAATTTATTCGGTTATTATTTAATTATTGCTATTACGTATAGGAAAGCAACTCAGGCGTGCCGTTACGACAATTTCTTTACCTCGTCTTTCATCAGTTATTATCGTCTCGGCAACGGCGTAATAGCAATAATTAAATAATAACCGAATAAATTAAGTAAGATTTGAACAAAGATGGAATAATATACTTGAATATTCAATGGTAGTGATAATAATATCTGCTCGACAATCGTGTGATAATATCCGTGAGTAGATAATAATGAAATAATGATCGAATAATCGGTAATAACAATATCTGGATAACGGCTCTAACAAAAACTCTAGGATCAACAAAGGCTAGGTAAACCGACCGTCGTAACGGCCGCCTAGGCTGTTGACTGAGCGGCGCTGGAGGAAGGGGGGGGAGGGGGGGCACGCGGCCAGGCGCGTATCACGCCATAACGCTATCAGCCGCCGAGGCGAGCGCGTCGCGGCAGCTGTCGCGTTATTTTCTAAATTATTTTGCACCGATTTTTAATACCACATTTTGACTTTGCCACAAATAAGGCAATAATTAACACGATTTGAAACGCGTACTTATCACGCGAGCAGGTGTTGTGGACTTTACCGTAGCGGGTAATTATCGCGTTTCATTTACTTTTTTATTTGTTAGATAGAGAAACGTTGCAATCGAGTTCCTCAATGCCGATCAAATATTATCATCATCCATTTATTATTCGAGTATTATTATTTCTTTATACGGTTGTTATTTAACTATTTTTATTACGTACAGAGAAGCAACTCGCGTGCCGTTACGATGATTTCCTTACCTTGTCTTGTTGTCGTAATTAATAATGTAATTAATTGATACTACTGGACATTATTATATGGTATGTCGATCAGACATTATTATCATCGTCTATTAATTAATCGGGAATTATTACTTCTTTATTCGACTATCGTTTAATTGTTTTTTATTACGCATTGGGAAGGAACTCGAACGTGCCGTTACGACAATTTCTTTTCACCGTCTTACTGTCGCGTATAACTATTTGATACTAATTTATTAAATTATTAATTGATACTAAATTAAATTAAATTTCTGTCATAGAGATCTAATAGAAAAGACGCAATCACGCGGCTGTAGGGGATGCGATGCCTGAGGGATGCCGCGCCGGAGGATCCGGCTCGGGCCTAGCAGAGTTGGCGCAAAGGTGAGTTTCACTGATTTTAATTCGTAAATTAGTCATCTAATAAAACTGGAAATTCTTTTGTTTGGAATCAAGTTCCTTAATGCCACCATTGTGTGTAATACTAAATTAAATGTACTTTTTGTTGCAGAGACGAAGCAGACGACCAGCTAACTTTTAGGAGCTGCTGCGCCGGAGGATCCGGCTCGGGCCAAGCGGGGTTAGCTCGAAGGTTAGCTTCCCTAATTAGTATTTCTAATTATAAATCCAATAATATTGATAATTCTCTTGCTCAAAATTGAGATAATTTGAATTGAGTCAAAGATCGCGTTAAATCGTAATTACACGTGGGGAGAATTTTTTTCTTTTGAGTAACATCATCACTTGAAAAATAGTGATTTGTTCTAATTAAGAGATTTATTTGAAACGTTGAGAAAAAGGAAAGTGTGGAATATTCTAAGTGTGAATGCATTCCAGAAAATTCTCCCAGCGTGAAAAATATCGCGCGCTTATTTTTTCTTTAATATTACAAATTTTTTTACTCAAACCAATATCAATGCACGAACCTAATCGACGAAACATTTCTCTGTTCCAGAAACGAAAGCAGAACGTGGCTGCTCTGATCGGCGGATCGGTAAGTCAAACAAGAAAATAATTGATAATAGAAAGACAAAAAGTCTTTCAATGTAATGCATGTAATACATGAATCAATGCGATTTACTTTGTTGTAGTGTAGTCTGTGTATGTGCCGTCCAATAAAGCACACTTTTCGAAACAAAAGATCGCTTTTACAAATAATAATATTAGTGATAGTGCATTTTTCTAAATTTGGCAAATTTTTAAATTTTTTCCCAATGTATATATATTTATTAATTGTTTGACTAACTTAGATTATTGATTGGTTA